TGCTCTTCTTCAGAATCAAACATGGTGTTTTGTCCTATCTCGAGTGGGTATGAATGTTTATTGGGTGTAAGTGGGTTTTTCGTACTAAACGTAAGGCATATGACTCCATTGAGAGACACACCGCAAGATTAGTAGCAAAGGGGTTCAATAAAGTGCCTGGTCAGGATTTCTTTGATGCATTCAGCGCAGTGGTGAAACCCACTACTGCCAGGTCACTTCTATCCTTGGCTTTATCCTCTGGTTGGATTATTAGGCAGCTTGATGTTCATAACGTCTTCTCAAATGGAAATTTGTCTGAAATTGGCTACATGAAACAGCCACCTAGTTATATTGATGCTCAGTATCCCACTCATGTTTGGATATTGAAATGCTCCTTGTACGGTTCAAAACAGGCTCCTAGAGCTTGGTTTGACCGCCTTACATTCATTCTTACTATCGATTGGGTTCCAAGCATAAAAAACATATGTCTCCCTATTCTATTACTCTTAGGAGTCTGCTTGTGTATATCTGCTGGGTTTGTAAGAATCAAAGAATTGTTGTTAGAGCTTCTACTGATGTAGAATATAAAGCTCTAGTAGATGTCTGTGCTGAGTTAATTTGGATAGTCTCATTGCTGTGTGAGATCAAAGTGTCAGGTATTACTGTTCCAAAATTGTGGTGTGATAATTTTGGTGCTACGTATATGTGTGCAAATTCCTATTTCATGCTTGAACCAAGCACGTGGAAATTGACTACCATTTTGTTCGAGACAGAGTTGCTCCGGAGACATTCAAGTTAACTTTATCTCAACAAAAGATCAACTTGCTGACATCTTTACAAAAGCTTTACCTAGTCCTATGTTTATTTCTCTTAGAGACAAGTTACAAGTTACTAGTATACCTTTTGCTTGAGGGGGAGTATTAGGACTCTATGTATTTGGGTCACACTATGACTCGCTATCGTAGTTTCCCCATGATTCTCTATTGTATATATTCCCTCAGTTTGTACAGTTGTATTTAGGGAAAATGGCGAGTTTGGTCCTGAGCTATAATGGTAGTGACGACTCAGTCCTTGAGTTATGACCGTCTCCATTTTTAGTCCCTCAGTTATGAGCGAAGTGGCGCATTTAGTCCCCGACCGTTAAAACTGACGGAAAAATTTAAAAATATTTAAAATTTTAGGGGTAAAGTAGAAAATTCACATTTTATTCACTTTCTTATATTGAAACCACTTTTGCAACATTATTTTCAACTTCCTAGCATTCTATTTCAAGGTTCTTCAATTCCAAAAGCAATTCAATAATATTCGAACGACTTGTTAGTAACCTGAGTCTCGTATAAGGAACCTGTGAGTCAGTACAAACAAGAGAACACTTGATCGTTGTCTTCAAGCATGTAAAACACACCATCCTAAAAGTTTCTGACTTCCCTTACGAAACATAACGGTAATCAAACCATAACTTTTGAAATACAAGAAGATATCAAATTTCTCAGGTTATTTGTATGACAATTCACCAAGGAAGTAACTTCAGATTTTTAGTACGTAAAATTCTTTCGTAAGCTCTGCAATAACTTAACCAAGAATCGTATATCATGACAATATATGAAAATTATATTTGATATATATCCAACACCTCATCTGTGTTCTTAAAACCAGAGTAATGAATGAGGAACCTAAGACTCAGTTATGAAAATTCTAAAAACTAACTATTGCATATGAAAAAATTTTACATACTAAAAATCTCTTAAGTTATTCCGTTGGTGAATTCCTCATAAAAGCAACCTGAGAAATTCGACATCATTTTGTATCTTAAAAGTTCTGGTTTGATTACATTTAATTTGTTGCTTAGTAAAGAAAATTGAAAATTGATAGGATAGTGTGTTTCACATGTCGATCTGAAGACAATGATCAAGTGTTTCTTGGTTTATGCTAGGTCTTAAGTTTGTTATACGAAAGCTAGGTTCCTAACAAGTCATACTAAAGTTATTGGAATGCTTTTACAATTGAACAATATTGAAATAAGAGGCTAAGAAGTGAAAAATAATATTGTGAAAGTGGTTTTGATATAAGAAGGAGAATAAAATTTTAATTTCCTACTTTACCCCTCAAATTTTAAATCTTTTTTAATTTTTCCGTCAGTTTTAACGGTCGGGGACCAAATACGCCACTTCATTCATAACTGAGGGACTAAAAATGGATACGGTCATAACTCAGGGACTGAATCAGAACTTGAGTATAACTCAGGGACTAAAGATGTAATTTTCCCTTGTATTTATTGTGAATCTAATACAGTTCATACAGTTCTCATCCTAATAATAATAAAAAAAAAACACATCATAATGCAATGAAATTGAGTTGAACTCCAAATTGGCTTAAGATTAATAAATCCGCCCCTTATATACTCAAAGTAAAGTTTTTCTCCCTTATTATCTCACAAGACACATAAATAGGACGAATGGAGTACAAAATAAGTGTCAAACACGGTTAAAATCTGAGTTAATTCTAGATTTAATATAATCTTTTGATTATATATCACTCATTTCTAATTTTAGTCATTCAATTTTAAAGTTATCAAATTTAGTTATGAAACATTGAATTGTTTCAAATTTTAATCCACTATATATGAACGAAGGTAAAATTGAAAAATCATGACCATTGCATGCATTGAATGCGTACACTAAGTAATATTTTAAATTTAAGGTTAAGATGATCTGCAGGTGGTTGGTGTATGAGGTAGCTAGCATTGAATATTTGATGGACTAGTGTGGAACTTATACAACCTGCTGAATATACTAAATTTCCCTCGTGCTGCCACAACTAAAGCCTAAAAAATGGGTGCAGTCAAGTAAGTGTGCCTAAATATGTTATATCTAATCTGAATTTCACACGTGCTGTGACAAATTAAATAAAGGAAAGGACTGCAGTGAAGTAAGTGAGCCGCCTAACTATGTTGAACTTGAACCAATAATTAATTTCCATCTCTTTGCTTAATCATCATTTCCAGGAAATTACTATACACCCAAATTACTATATGCTCATAAAATTGGTATGGCGTAGGATTGAAAGATTGTTGTCTTTTAGAGGAGCGACAATCCCTAGTTGCACTGGAATGGACAGTCTAGAAGACTCTAGAAATTCTAAATGCTATACTCCGAAAACATATGATTGTACTCTTTTTTCACTTATCTAATTTATTTTCTCCCATTGGGTTTTCTAAGGATAAGGCTTTAATTGAGGCAACTGATGCAGGTGCACTTGAATGGATAGTTCTGAAGACCCTTGACATCTTGAAGATTATGCTCTTCATATGGTTGCACTATTTTTTCCTTAGATAAGTTTTTTCCACTGAATTTTCTTAGGCTAAAGTTTTTAATCAGGCAACTGGTTCAACACATGGTTTAACATATTTCGTGTACTCTTTTCCTCCTCTAGGCTTTTCCCAGGACCGGTTCTGAGCATGTCTAACATGTGCGACCACACATTGGGGGCCCCATATTTAAAAAGAATATTATATTTGTATATATAGTATACATGATTTTAGGCTTAGTGCAGGGAGATTGGACCAATTTGTGATAGGTGAAATTGCTATGATCAATAAGAGAGAAAGGTTGATGAGTTCTTACATCTGGTGTTCTCCATTTTCTCTACTTCTCTATTCCGTATGTCTTATTACTTTTGCGTACAATTGCTGTCGTTACCGTACAATGCAACCATCCCGATAGATTGGGCTAATAGAAGGCAAAATATAATTTACAATAAATTTGTAAATATTTAATTATTTCCATAGAGTGATTTGAGAATTAAAGTTCACATTTTTCTTGAGTGATTGGACAATGTGATATAGTTATTTAAAACTTTTGAACTACTACGTAATAACTAATAAAGTCCGCAAGATGCAAGTAAATAATAGTTTTTTGGATTCAAAAGAGTTATTCGGTTAGATCTATACATTTTTATGGTAAGATATAGGGCAAACTACTTGAGAAGGTTTTGTATTATTTAATTTAATTGAACCTTTCACTAACACGTAGGATGTGTAATCAAATCTATTGAACAACAACAACAACAACAACAACAACAACAACAACCACAACAGTAATAATAATAATAATAATAATAATAATAATAATAATAATAATAATAATAATAATAATAATAATAATAATAATAATAAAAAACACATCATAATGCAATGAAATTGAGTTGAACTCCAAATTGGCTTTTAAGATTAATAAATTCCTAATATACTCAAAGTAAAGTTTTGCTTCCTTATTATTTCAGCATACATGAGTCTCACAAGCTACACTTAGTTTGTTCTTTAAGGTTTAAACATGTGGTAATTTTCTCTTAAACATGATGGAAAACCTCTCGTTCCAACGCTCGACCGAAGACCAGGACCTCCCGGTGCGAAGCACGAAAAAAGCCTAAACGGAATGAATCCATGCATGTCGCGCATGCAACCGACGAAAGCGCTGGAACGATGACGCTGGATGATGTGGAGATCGTGCACGAGACGCAGTCGATGCGATGGTGGAGGCGGATGAGCAGTCTCCAGCCGCGGATCAAGGTGGTGTGGCGGTTTCGCTCCCTGCGATAGCTCCTTCGACGACCCAAACGCAGGCACCACCGCGACGAACGTATGCAGAGAGTGTAGCTGGGCGGTTCATGGCGGATCACGACCCGCAAATGGACCTGCAGGAGCCAGTGAATGTTCGAGACAACCTTAATGAAGAGGAGGAGGACGATCCTTTATGCCCCACGATCAGATTGTCCAAGAAGGAGGTGGTGGCGATCCGCGCTCCATGGAGGAAGGCTTTGATCATTAAGGTGATGGGTCGGCGGGTGGGGTACGCATATCTACTTCGAAGGCTGACATCAATGTGGAAACCGAAAGGGAATATGGACTTGATCGCTATTGACAATGATTACTACCTAGTGCGATTTGGATCCATCGACGACTTGGAGTTCGCTATGTACGAGGGCCCTTGGATGGTTTAGGACTACTATCTGATCGTGAAGCCATGGGAGCCGGGCTTCGACCCTTTCAACGACACTACGGAGAAGGTGCTGGTTTGGTAAGAGTACCTAGTCTACCTGCTGAATACTTTGATATTATTTTTCTTAGGAAGCTTGGAAATCGCATCGGGCGGAAGGTTCGGGTCGATCAGGCCACAAGCCTGGTGTCTCGCGGCATGTTTTCCCAAATATGTGTTGAGATCGACATGAGAAAGCCCTTGATATCGAAGTTCACGTACGAAGGAAAAGTTAGGCACGTCGCGTATGAAGGTATGCACATGGTGTACTTCTCCTGTTGGTTCTATGGACACGCAAAGGATGCATGCCCGTCTTTGAGAAGGCTAGAGGATGACCGAGGTGATGGCATGGCTGACGCCGCAGTGGCGGAGCATTACGGGGTGCGTCCTGGCAATACAGAGATCATGGACCCCAAGATCCTGTATGGAGCGTGGATGATCGCACCAGTGCGACGGGGAAGGCCAACATCGAAGCCAGCGGAACGCACACATCGTCAGGCCAAAGTGACAGAGGCAGAGTCCGCAATGGGGTGACGGTCCAAGCTTTGAAATACACGCCGCTGATGGGGGAGGATAACGGGGACGTCTTGGCTGATGTGAGAGAGGAAAGAACAGAGAAGGCGGACGGCTGGTGCTCAACAAGCAGGAAGCATTGCGCAGAAAATAGAGCAGCTAGGCATAACACAAAAGGACGCAGACCGAATGTCATAGCTTCGGAACAACAAATCGCAAACGACCCTCCGGTAGCTCAGGGTTCTACGTCAAATGTGGGGGTAAATGCGGCCAGAGGGCAGAGGCAAACTGATAGTAGATCGAGGAGGGCCACGGAGGAGGATGAGCATGTGGTTGTACGGGGTGCTCAAGGCAGCTTGGTGATACGGTCATCGCGAGTGTACGTAGGGGACACTGGTGGCACCACTCCATCGCCGGTTTTGTAACACCCACAGATTTCAAGATATTTAAAACCTATAAAATAAAGGCTAATCTCTTATTAATTCCCAAACAGAACATAACTAGACATAGTAGTCGGGGTGCTGTGCCACATCTGAGCTGGAGAACTCAGATGCAAAGGCTAAACTAACTAACAAAGCATAAGCCATAACTAATACCCAAATACAAATCAAGGCACACAGGTCATCTCATCCAGTCTAGAACTAACTAACTAGGTCCACGGGTCCACTAGCGCGCTCCGAAGCTACTCACGGTTCTTGAAAAACATTCGATATAACAACCGTCAGCGAATAATGCTGGTAACACACTCTAACGCGTTAAGTACAATATAGGTAGATATAAGGCAAATCATTTTGAAGCCTGGAATACATATATACTTAGGAAACTCTAATTTAAAACCGAGAATAGACTCAATCAAGCAATGGCAGACACATTTAACACAATTAATCATACACATAAAGATTCTAGCATACATCCTAAGGTCACAAGGCTAGCCAATATTAATCATATCAGTGTCCAATTACTATTTCAGTCACAATCAACAATAAGACACGTATGCACATATGGTGGTGCCACAGGACCCTTCACGTGCCCATACACGAAGGTCAGTGCATATAGCTCTGAAATGGCCCCGCAACACACTACTTGTACCGCAGCACAAGGGGATTGATCGCAACCAATCAATGAACCACAGCTCATTTATATCATAACGTTTGATCGCAACCAAACGGTGGATCGCAGCCCTATTATCATGTATATCTGATTGCAACCAGATTATATATATATATATATATATATATATATATATATATATATATATATATATATATAGTCAGGTTCCTGTGAGGTCAGGTCTTCCCGTGCGGTCAGTGCGGCATACACCATTAGGTATGCATAAATGCACCACACAGCGTTCGTAAATATACCATTATGTGTGGTGCATTTTTTGACATTCCATTCTGGTGTATTTTCGAACACTGTATAGTGCATTTATGCATACCAAATGGTGTATGCCGCACTGACCGCACGGGAAGACCTGACCTCACATGAACCAAAATATATATATATATATATATATATATATATATATATATATATATATATATATATATATATATATATATATATATAGGGTTGAGTTCAAATGAGGACAACAATATATAGAGGACTGTGAGGACAAATAATGGGCACACAACAAATTTATACCAGGCACACAACTTAATACATAATGGCACACAAGAATAAATGTAACATCAGGTTTCTAACCCAAGCACTATAAATTAACAAATCTAGCACGCGACATACAAACTGTGGCACACGACTACATTCTGCCATGCACACGACATACCGGCTAATGGCACATACTAAATCTGTCCTCACAATCCTCTATAATATACTTGTCCTCATTTGAATACACATCTATATATATATATATATATATATATATATATATATATATATATATATATATATATATATATATATATATATATATATATATATATATATATATATATATATATATATATATATATATATATATATATATGTAAAGCAGCCGATGGTTCTCAACCCATCCAACTACCTGTATAGCCGACCGATCACAACCGGTCGGGTTAATACCTGATGGTTCTCAACCCATCAGATAGTCATTATAGCCAATTGATCGCAACCAATTGGGGTATCAATGTATCATGCACAATTAACATAGAAGCCAAACAACATGCAACCCACATTAGCACATAACGAGGGGGAATCATCGGGGAACACTTATCCTAATATAACACATCACATTAAACCACTCATGACGCTCCTAAGGGATCATACACCTTCCTCCTAGGCCAACGGGTTACCAATTCAACTAGCATGCAATACACAAGACTCTTTTATCATAGGAACGGTGCCCGATATATCCAACTAGACTCTCACACGACAAACGGGATACACCGGGACACAACGGGGCACGGGGAAACATCAAACGGGGAAAAACACCATGGTTGACACCAAAATTCCAGCGGGTGCCCGGCGGGCAGTCGCCTGCCCGCTGCGAATTGGGCACGAGCAGCAGGTAGGTGGCGGGTACCCCTGCCCCCACCTACCCCCAACTGATACACAGGCAACTTTAGGGCCCCAGGATCCTTCGTGGAACCCGAAACCATGTCCAAACACATTCAAATACAGACGACGACACCATGTATTCAGGTAATGGATTTAAACCAAGGACCGCACCAAATACATCATAACCCGACTCCTAAACATGTCAAGACTCAACACCCGAACATGCAAAATCCCACCCCAAACGTACCAAAACCACATAATACGAAATCCACGTTTATTACCCTAGGGCTCTAGTCATAATTGAAACACAAGTTTGTTTATATAATTTATCATAGAATCAAGAACATCAAGATGATCACATATGCATCAAGCTTAACACATAAACATCAAGATTATTTCATAAACTCAATATCAATCTCAGGCAAAGCTTTATCAAGACTCGAGCACAGAATCATATATCAAAGGAGCCAATGATGAAGATATAGCAAGGAAAATAGGTTTTGTTGAGACATGGGTTACCTCTTAGCCTTAATTAATCCTACATTGGCTATTAAGGTTCTTCTCTAATATTTCCCTCCGATTGATCTCCCTAGGCTTGGTGGTGATTGATCTCCCTAGGCTTGGTGGTGGGGAATGTAACACCCCGTGTTACGGCCTTCAATCCCGGATTAATTATTTAATTAATCCCGTTAATAATAATTAAATATGATTTAATTATGTTAGGTTCACCTTTAATTAATTAGTAAGGTCTACCATGAACCGTGGACCCTTGCCCGAATAAGAGTCTTAAGCCTGTTAGGAATAATGGAAGTAGGCCTTTTATTATTCAGATTATGATTAGGATCCTCTTTAATTAATATGGCCCACTATGGACCGTGGACCATTATCCCTAAAACAAACCCTAGCCCTATAAGGAATAGAATTAGAAAACGCATACAATTCAGGCCCTAACTAGGAGTCTTAAATATATAAATAGGGAACTTAGGAGGCACCTAGAATCCCCACCACAATAATCTCTCACCACCCAAAGAGTTCCAAGAATCCCCTTAGGAGAAATCAAGAAATCAAGAAAGCTTAAAGAAAGATCCTTCATAGCCAAGGAATTAATTAAGGCTAAGAGGTAACCCATGTCTCAACAAAACCTATTTTCATAGCTATGATTCCCACTTAGGGTTTCCCCCATATTATTGTGTATTGGCGAGATATGATGATTATTATTGATGTTTGATGTGATGATCCCATGAGGGATCTTGATGATCTTGATATTGGGAGATTCTTGATGATTATAGAATTCTTGATGATTATATAGAGTTCTTGATGATTATGTGTTGTTCTTGATAATTGTGTGATGCTCTTGATGTTTATGTGTTATTCTTACCGAATCTTGCAATTAGAAGACGAACCGTATACTTGTTGATATAAAAGTGATTAGAACCCTAGGTTGTATCGTATGATCTTATTCTTAGATTGTCGGGTGGGGAAATCGCATGTTTGGGTGTTGATTATATTTAAAAAAGCATGATAGGTTATGTGTCGTCCGTCTCTTGGGAACTCGTGGGAAGAGAGTTGGGAACTCGTGCTAAGAACCCACGAAAACCTTAAAAGTCAAAATGCTAAGGGTGGATCGGGACTCCTCCAAACCATGAACATCGTTCGAGCAAATTAGAGGACTCCTTACAAGTTGAATGGAATCAAGAACTACGTAGTCCATGGTGCCAAGCAAAAGGGTGAAGAGCACATTCGCGCCAAGACTTCAAGGGTCATTAAGGACCCACAAGGAAATGAGGTGACTCGTAAAGTCGCCGAGTCATCCCACAACGAGATTTGGTAACCGACTGCGCTTTAAAAAGAAAAAGGGCACGCAAGGACACCTTCAGCATTAAAAATAACACAAAAAGGGCACAGCAATGCCGAACCTCGGGTAAGACATGAAGTCTTACTAAGAATTTCATCCACTAAAGAGAAGATGAAATTCAATAAGAAAAGAAATTCAGCCCAAAGTCCATCGACTCCCAAGAGACTTTGGGAAGAATTTGGGAAGTGCGCCCTAAGAGATTGGCTTGGTTGACTCAACTTGGTCAAGACCTTGGGCGCATTAAAGAAGTAAGTGTTGAACCACCACGGGAAATTCCCTCAAGAAAGAAGAGAAGGATAAAACCTTAGCCTGGGAACCAAGGTTTAACAAGGATCTTAAAGTCAAGCAAGTACCAACACCAAGGAAGGAGGATCATCAGCTCGTCGACGCACCGTGATCAAAGCATCTAACCAGATTATTCACTTGGGATCGAGAAACCTTAACCCATCCTAGCCGAATTCCTTTCCCTCCCTCGGAAAATCGGCCCCCTCCTTATTTCAGAACCCTTTCTACCCTTCAGACCCCATTCTTAATCCCATGTTTTAACGATTCCATACAAGTGACAACCTCACAACCTAAGTTGCAACCTTGAAAACTTGATCCTAATTCCTGAATTCACCGTGCCCTCAAGTTTGAAACCCACTCTCTTGGCCCTGTAAACCTAATCGTC